CAATATTAAACTTCTTTTTTATTAACATTTTAATAGAACTGTATACAAAAAATATATATAGAAGCAGAATAAGTTAAGAGAAAAATTGTAAATAAGCAATTATTTTAATATTTTTTTCTTGAATATTACAAATTTCTTTGTTCTTATTCAAATCTTAACATAATAGAGATCTAAGTAGAATTCTGATTTAGAGAAAAAGAACAAAAATTACAAAATAAAAAAAAAATTTAGGGCATTTTAACAATTAAAAGCTCTGTCAAATATTAACCTATTTTGATTAAACGAGCATAAAAATTATATCTTAACGAGGATACTTGATGAGAGCCTAACAAATATAATAGTAAAAATATAAAGTTTAAATGATTAATAAAAAATATTTTAATACTATTCCAAACAATACAAGAATGTTTTAGTTTATAAGAAATACAGTATAAGTACTATCTGAATCATTTCGACCAAGAGAAATAAACTTCTAAATTTAATAACTATATTTTCTAAATGCAATTGAAAGCTTTCAAATAAAGTTACCTTCTATGATTTAAATTATTGGATTTTAAGTACTAACCTCACATAAATCTGAATATTATATTTTAATCAATCCATTTCATAAAAAAGATATAGGCCAAAGTTTATGTGCTTACAACGATCAACCCATTCGCAGCCCATCAATTCTAAAATTTTGAAAAGCTGCTTAAAGTGTAGGTCTTGTTGAGATGCCACGACATAATACATGGCATCAAATTTGTATTGTTCATATCGCTCCATGGCAGCACCAATGTCCCGAGTAATATATAAGGTTGTACTATTATTTTTTTGAATCATCGCAACATCTAATTTATATTCACCTAAATCTGCGATTATTGCACTATTTGATTCCGTAGCAATATTTTTCTCCTTGAGTATTTTCAACGCAAGAGAGATTCTTTCATTACTAATTTGTGATTCACCAGAATAAACATCAAAATTAACGTTAAGACGAGTATAAGTATCTTTGTATCTTTCTATACTAAGATTTTTAAACCTTTTCCATAATGCAAGCGCGGATTCATCACCTTAAAAGAAATAATTCGAATCATGTTTAATATATATATCGCTTAATTCTATAAAATTTAATTTCATGTAAATATACCAGTTTCCATTTTTTTGAAATAAGCACGAGTCTAATCATCTACATCAGAATCTTTTACGATATCAGCCAATGTTAATATATTATAATTTTATTAAACATAGTTAAGTTCGAGTGTTTTATGACCTTATTAAAAACAATAAAACCTACATTAATTTTGACATACACGTTATATAGATGTTTAATTAGATTTTTAAGTAATTCTTCCTCAGATCCATATTTCTCAAATCCAATGGCTAAAAGGCCTAAAATCCAATTAAATCCAAAATTAATTAATGATTTTTTTTTTTTTTTGGAGAGGAGATAATAAGAACACGAAAATGAAAAGAAATTTACCATATTGTTTACTTTAATCACCAAGATAATTTATACTAATCGTTTTCCAACCATTCGCTGCATGTATATTTCTAACAAAATTTCCAATAATTGTACTGCGTAAATGATCTGCGTGGAATAGCTTTGCCATGTTTGGACTGCTAAAATCAATAAGGCAAGTTTTACTAGCCTAAATAAGTTTCTCACTTCTCACATATTAGCGATTCTACCTTTTTACGTAGTTGATATAAATACCTATAGATTTTTAATCGTATTTGTCCAAACTTTTATCGATTTTATGAATTCTTGAATTCTTAGTTGGCTATGAAATATTTAATTGTCTGGGTGTTTTTGTACTAGCTAAATTATAAATGATAAAGTTATGAAATTTAGTAATTTAAAAGCGAACTATAAAAACTGCAAATTGAACTTACGATCTTTATACTAATATCTTATTTAACATAGAAAGCTGTTGTATATATAATATAAACAGATACTGAATCTGTGTATTTTGTGATAATTTTCATCAGTGAATTAAAAATTCTATATATCATATCAGTCATTATTTAGTCACAATACAATAAAGAATTTATCAAACCCTTTACAAAAGGATACGCTAACTCGAGATTCTTAATATTCTCTAGCTTTGTATTAAGTAGCAAATATAACATATACCTTTTCGACTTTAGGATTTGTTTCCTTTTTTTCCTTTTTGGGTTTTTCTTTTTTCTCGACTTCTTTCTTTTCTTTCTTTACGGGTTCTTTTTTAACAAGCTTAATAGTTCTAATTCTTGACTCTACCTAGTAGACAAATAAAAATTTATAAGAGACTTAGTTGGCTTATCAAAAAAACTTTAGTGATAATTATTAACGATAATATAATCTTACAAATCAAAAAAAAAAAATTTAATCCATAGTTTGAAATCATTCACTTTTATTGATTATATGGGTTTGTATTAGAGCCAGTAAAAAAACTTTTTTCTACATTAAATTGTATTTTGATATAACCAGAAGAAACTTGATATCTATTAAAATTTTTAATTATTTCTCAGGCCTAATCTACTATAAATTCTGGTTGTATTATTGTATTGTTTTCTAAAGTTACAGCAGAAGAGTTCTCATTACCAACATTATCTTGTTTTTCCTTTTTTTTTTTTTTTTTTGCTACTTTTTTTGCAATCAGTGCATCTAAAGCTGGAATTGAGTTTTCATTAGTTGTTTGATTAAACAGTACAACGTAAGAAACCTGGTTGCACTTATAATATTGTACACCCCAACAATAATCACCTAATAATGAACTAATTGTTTGATATGCGTTAGATTCTGAAAAAACACACTTATAGGCTCTTTTATGAACAAATACACGTGTTAAATATTGTCTAAAAAGCCCTAAATATTGACCCTCTATACAAGGAAATTTGATTACTTGTTTGCCAGTCTTTTTAAAAGCAAGAGGAAGTCATTTGTGAATAGCATGTACCAACATTTCTTTCCATTCATTAATAGCGTTTTCTGATAAAATATAAGATTGAATAGGTGGTATATTATAATCACTATGCTTAGTGTTTTCATGTCATGAAAGCCTTGCTGCAGATTTGTACTGCTTTTTTTTGCAAATAGTATATTCAAAATGTTTTTTATATGTTGATCGAGGCATTAAAAAGAGCTTATTATTTATAAATAAAAATATTATTAATATGTATATATTCAAATAAGTAAATTCTTATTATAACCTTTATTATCTTTACTTATTCGTATGCGATTTCATTCATTGATTACTTGGATGGGTTTATTGGTTTGACGTTAGAATTTATTATAAAATTTTAATTTTTTAGCAACGAAAATAATGATTTTTGGGGTACTAATATGCAATATCAATTAGTATTAATTATAAATTTGGGATACAAATTTTAGACCTAAATAAATATTTTAGCTGATATGACAAACTTTAAAATTCGAAGTCTAGATCTATCTCAGATATTCTTTTATTAACTTCCTAATTACTAAGTGTTGTAGTATTCAAATATACTATGCTATATCCTAATCTAGCTTGCATATATCTTTGTTCAATATTCATACAAATCTAGTTCCTACAATGACTTTTTACTGAGTTAGTTATCTGTACTTCCAAATATTATATGAGATAGATTCTTTCAAATCTGATTATTACCCAAATTAGTATTGCTAAAAGTCATTTGTATCTTTAGATATTATATAAAACAGAACCTCTCAAATCTAGTTAGCTATCAAACCAAGTTAATATTGCTATTTGACCTTGTGTATTGAACTTATGCATACCTATTTTACTAATCTTTTCATATGCAGATTTTCTAATAAACTTATTTGTATTCTAGTTACTAATTTTTTATACATAGATTTTCTTTCTCAGATTAAACATTAACTAGTATAACTGTTAAAATCTGTATTACTTCATCTAATTTGGGATTTCTACTATGCAGATTTTCTGCTTATAGATCCTATCAAGATTTATTCGTATAATATTATACTCTTCTAAATACCCTATGACACTTCTAATATCCTAATTAGCCTTAGTACAATATGATTTATAAAGTTATAACTTCAGAAACAAGCAGAGTTCACTGTAAGTTAGATATAGATATCTAGATAATTATTCAATTCTGTTAACAGTAGGATTTGAACTCTATATCTTTTGTATAGCAATCTGATAATCTAACTACTATACTAAGATTATCAGACCTCATTTGTAAAAATAATATATATAATAAATTAATAATCTTTATAATTTTTATAAAAAAATTATAAGTTTCAAAAATAATGATAAAAATAAAAATTAAAATAAAATCAAAAATTAAAGTATTCTTTGTCAAATAAAAAAATTACTTAAAGTATATCAAAAGTTTTAAAATATAATTACTATTATTTGAATAAATAGTAATATTGAATAAAATTATAATAAAAAGATGGCAAATATTGTAACTTAAGGGCTATTCTCCATACTTGTCAGCTAGGCTTAGCATACTCTAAATTGAAATTGAACTCTTGATCTAGGGATCGACTAAATACACATATTTAAACTATTATCTTATAACTATTTAATATCTAAATTTTTTTATAGAGTCTTTTTAAATATCAGAACTTTGCTAATAATTGTCTAATAAGAATATTTAAATTAAGTCAGATAATATGTAAGGATAAAATATATATAAGGTTTTTGATAAGATTGATAAAATTTTTAAAGTTTTAAATTAGAATTTAAAATTTTTAAACAATAACAATAATAATAATAAACAATATGACTTGTTATTTCAATAATTAACAATAAAAGTCTTCTGCTCATTACCTAAGAAAAAGTTCTAGTAATCTTCTTTTCAAAGCTTTGAATATTGTTCAAACTAATAATAAAAGGTATTTTTAAATAATATATTATATTTCAAATAATTTATTTAACTTTGTTTCAAAATTATTTAGATTAGTTCAAGAAATAAACAGTTTATATTATCAGGTTTGTTTGTTAGAAGAGAGAGCTAAGAAGTAGCAAGAAAGTATTGTAGAGAGTATTCAAAGAAATTAGATAAGAGATACAAAATATGAAAGATTATTAGAAGAAAACAATAGATTGAAAGTTTGAGTTATAGATTTAGAGTTTCAAGTAAAATTAAGAAGAAGTAATATTAATAATAATAATAATAGAAGTAGTAATAGTAGAAGAGTTAGTTTTGGTTTTTTGGAAGTAGAAATAATATGTAAATAATTTTTTTTGAATAAATTTCTAATTTACTGTATTTAATAAAATTAAAGTTGTTGATGTTGTTTTAACTTCTAAATTTAAGTTGTCAAAATAAAAGTATTTTTTAATAAAATATTTGATATTATTATAACTAGTATTTAAAATTCAATGTTCTCAGTATTCTCAGTAAACACTAAAATTATTTTAAGAACATCAATCTTTAAATTAATGTTCTCTTATTTGAGAACATTTTATATAAATAAAATGTTTTCAAAATATTATTATTATTAAACAATTAAATAATTATAACTTTTTTTATTACTATATTAATTTTACTTAGACTCTTAAGTAAAGTTGTACACAGGAAGTTTCTAATTTTATAAGTACTTGAAATGTTAAGATTAG